ATCAAGTTCGCTTTTTCTCCGTGCTGAACCACAAAATTATCGTGGCGACTATCTCTGGGATACATATTCTGCTGCCTAATAAATCGAGCATTTCTTAAATGGTATTTATTAAGAAGTTGAATATATTATTATTGATTATTATATTAATTACCATTATTACCGTATTATTACGTTTATATTACGTCTACATCACACATACGCTGTATGCACCCACACGATCTCAAATGTTCTACATTGGTCATTTCTCTATCACGCCTATGCATCAGATATTTTTATGACAATTACGCTTATTTATTAGCAGCATTGTCCATCCAGGCAAATTACTGAATGCTGATTAAAAGAACATGATTATTGTTTATTAAATATCACTCTGGATCTGGGGTCTTACTTATTCGTACTGAGACTACGCCTATTTTATTGTTATACATGCATATTGTTGCCAAGTTCTAGATTGTCAGGGATTAGCTAGATTCTAGTTGTCCAACATTTTACATAACCCATCATTTCATGGTATTCCCTTTTCTACAAGGTAGACAAATGCAGTTCTTCAACAGTTTGTTCATGATGTATTATGCAGTTGCTGCTCGTAAATTAAAATAGCGTCAAGTTAATGCTAGGGTTAGAATATGTTTGAGAAGTTGCCAGAGCGAAAGGCGAATTTACAGGCGAAAATGCAGGCCGTCAGTTTTTTATGAATTATACAACTTTATTATTTTAATTGATACGAGCCAGGGAACGTGTTCAACAAAATTATGCATAAATTTAGCGCACTCAAAGTTAAGTGATCGTCAGGGTAATTAATGCATGCAAGGGAATATTTATTGTGGCTTTGAAAATCAAATTGCTATATTAATGCGACTATGACAACATTCAACGACATTCGACATAAAACATCATCGCCAAATAAACGTAAGCCATAGCAGATTTATTTACTACAAGTTGGAATAACCTATTTATTATTAAATTATCTCTTACATTCTCTCAGAATTGGTAATGTTGAAGCCTATCTCATAAGATGTAATCCAGTCGATACTCTTATTTTCCTAGTAATCCAATCTTTTTATTGGCAGTGATTTATTATTTGCGCGACTTTTTGAGAGAGTAATGTTAGTTTTGACTTCAAAGGCAACCCTTGCTTTTACAATCTTTTAGGCAAAAACTTGTTTGCGGCTTACCGCTTCCTGTACGGAGAAAACCAATCCTACGTCCTAATGCTCAGGGACACCGTTGGATACACTTGAATATCCCAGTTGGGTTGAAGTTGGAAGGAAAATGGCTGTTACGAAATAATAGACAACCTTAATAATTATTTTGCCTTTTCCCAAACACTACCCTCAAATAATAAAAGTAAAAGGTATTCCTCCATCTTAGAGAACACGCATGTTAATACACTCCTTTGAACATTATAGCTGTTTCCAAAAACTTTATATGTTATTCTGCAAATATACACTAACCTACCAAAAGTACACAGCAATCGATTAAATTTAAATTACTCAACAAGTAATGATGCAAATATTTTGAAATTTGGACCAAATAAACTACCATTAACTTATAAAAATTTTCACTAAGGGCACATACTGTATTTTGGGTAATAAATTGATGATTTATACGTTATGGAAATTTTTTGTTAAATTATCGGACATAATAAAATAACTTTTTCTTTTACTTATTTCAAAGCATTACCATTGTTACCTTTTTAGAAAAAAGTCTGCTAGAATATCTTGGATATATGTAAAGATATAAATATTTTAAATACACTCGCGTCTCAAAGTCATCGACACCCCTTAAATTTGCAATTAAATACAAATATCTGATATTGGCATAACGAGCAATGCAATTACCGTGAATTAATGCTGAATTTAACGCACCTTGTATATATACACAAAAAATTGCAGTGGGTATGTGTTAGCTAGTAATCCAATAAATTTAACATTAAGTTATAAATTGTTTAAACCCTCAACCCACAGAATAAATTTACACGGCTGTCGTGGTGGTGGTATGCCGGCACAGCCAACTTAACATCCACTCGAAAGCGCAAAAATCGTGCTATCGAATGCAAAAAACTTTCTTGCTTCGTTATCGTTGTTGAGAAATTGAGCTTTGACTAAGCGTGCTAACTAGGCGTATCTAATTTTGAAGGTAAGTTTTTATACCTCACGCTCGTACGTTGCGCAGTGTGTTACGAAAAAAAAAAAATAGAAAGCTCTTCGGATGCGTATAATTTATGCAATGTAAATTATTTTGTTTTACAGGTTTTTTTTTTTTATATATTAATATATATTTTGATGTAAAAATTATGGTTTTTAAAACTGTCAAACAACTTCAAACCTCAACCTAGCTTTTTGCTGTCAGATTCGATTACAAAGTATCTCTATCAAGTTTGTTTTAGCCTTCTAAGCATAGACACTTTCGTTCAAAAAGTATATTAATTATAACTTTTACGCGCCTTTTCTTAAAATTGTTCTCTGCCGCTCCTAGTGAACGAGTTTTTTGAATAATGTAACACCTTGCAGACTGGGGGAACGTTTAATTTGCCCTATCGGTAGTTGGGAAGTACTGAGGAGCGGAAGCCGGGGTATAGGTTGGCCCTGCCACCATTCGGGACCCTTTCGGGCTGCCCCTGGTGAGGAGACAAGTAAAGCCAAGCGCCCTTAGTGTTGAAACTTCCTGGTGTCTGCGTATTAAAGCCTGGCGAGTTTGAGTTGCTGGTTGCCCGCACATATTGTAGACGATAGATTTAATCATTAATCTAGTATTTTACCCGATACGAAAGTAACTTCAACAGGAATTTAGCATTTATAAAAGGCAGGGACAATTGTCCAAATTTGTTGATTGACAATAGAATTACTGCTTAGGAATGCGACATCTTCTGTTTTTATTAATTATTACAAGCACTACTCGTGGGCTGACAATTTTGTTAGCTGCTGTTACAGCGAAACTAGTCTGGGTAGTGTTAAGGCTTTGATCTAATAAAGGTGTATTAAGGAGCAGCGGATTCATGGATCCCAAGGAAGCAAATTGGGAATGAAAAGGTTATTGCGAAAAAATATTTATACCCGAAAATAAAATTTGGTAACTATGAGCTTTACTTATTAGTTCCTTGGTGACATCCACTGACATATCATCAGATGCTGGCTATATCTCTCTGTTTTTTAACGGCATATTGAATGACTGTGGGATGATCCAGCGATATAGAGAAACAGTAACTCCCCTCATCTGGCGTAACTGCCACTAGGAAGTGTAGGAATATAGTCTATGTATTGAAATGAGAACTCCGTAGGTTAGAGTTGAGACCGGTCGTGGGGTAGAAACTCAAGAGATCTAATGAAGAATACCTTAATGAGATGTAACGGCGGCTTTCGTCGAATATGGATGATTAATTCTATAGTGTGGATAGCTCGGCCAGTATGACGCCGTTAGAATGGATAGTTTCACTAACGGAACGAAACTCGAACGATAAAGTGATTTTCGTCGAATGTAAAAGCTCATTATAATACATCACCAGGGCATTGGAAGCATATGACAGTATTAAATAACAGCTTGGAAGGCTAGGGTTTGGGAAGAATAGATAAGGATCTATAAACGAGTATAGGGAAAGGTTCATCGAATCTCGTCAGATAATGGTGGTGTGAAGAGTGAGTGGTACAGCTGTCGCAAAACGCAGCTAACGTGCTCCGCAAACCCAGCACACGCTCGGCTGTAATCATGTTAATGCATATTGGCCCATGTCCGTAAAAGACATGGCGTCAGTTAAAGTCGCTATGTCTGTTTTTTCATTTTATCAAATACGACTTGCTTCGCGTAATGCTTTTGCTCTTGGCGTAGGTTGGCCCATAATAATCCCAACAAGGCGTACTGTATGCCTTTTTCAGTTATCTTTAGTTCGATTCAACGTCTCGTTTTCAAAACTCTCACAGCTCGAAATTACTATTGTAAATGCAAGATTTATATTCGGCCGTGTATATCGTCAAAGATTATTATACGTGTATTTTAATATAATTATTTTTATGTTTGTGTATTACCGTTACACGTTCGAATTTTCGCTCTAATATGTAATACTAAAACTATAATATTTATAACTTGAATATCTAATGTATTGTCTGTTTTTACCCACTTTGTCTAAATTATATTTGGCGGACGGTACAAGTTATTGACATACTGACAGTCCCCGGCAACATACAATAGATGCCATTGACCCAACAGTCGCCCGATTGCAAGTCTCGAGCCACTGGATCCATTCTCGCTTCATATCCGACGAACTGGTTCACCAGAACACGCTAGACAAAATTCGCGCTTTTAACAAGATAATACTTGTTATGTGCCGTATTGCACGTAATTCCGATCGTTATCCAGATATCTCCCCGACAGAGCCGAATTGGTTACCTGTTGTCGTCACAGATTCTGTTGATAAGGCATCATTGAATGCCTGCCGCCTTTAGATGCTGTGTTCAATGCTGTTGAGCTTGTGTTTTGATGCATCTGCGTTGTGTTTCGTGTTTGGGAAGGATATTGCGTAGGAAGTTAAATAAAACGTGGGATATATTATATGCCATGCGGTTTTAGTTGGTTAACAAATGTTCGTATAACTTGTGTCTGCTTTGAGTGCAGAATTTGAGCTACTCATGCCATCTTTATTTGTCTGGACTAAATGCGGATTTCGACACTCAACCTGAAAATAGCAATCATATGGGGAATGACAATTCCCGAATCGGGTATAACGACAAGTACGCAACATCAGGGCAGCGAACGAATAGCCCTCAATTCCCTTTATTTCACTCAACCTGAAAATAGGCATAGTAATAGTTATCTGCTTACATACCGACTTCCTCATCTGTACTAGACCCATGCTTTGGCGTATATGTTACACATTATTTTCAGTGTGTAACAATACGAATCAGGGATTTATTGTGCGGGCACATTTGAAAAATTACCTCAAATCCTCTTTTCTGGACAATCCGTTGACTTGTGCAGGGTGTATCTAAGTGGCATAAAGCAATATCCTATGTTGGAACCTGTTCAGTTCGTGAAGGCTCCTTCAGTTCGATGCATGGAAAGAAGTCCTCGGGGATCATACGTGTCCTGGTGACAATAGCTTGACAGCTTCTTTCCAGAATATTGGGGTCAGATAAATATCCTACGACTATTGGAACCTTTTCAACTCCTTCAGTTCGATGTATGCAAAGAAAGTCCTCGGAGCCATCATATGTGTCCTGGTGACAACAACAGCTTCTTTCCAGATACTTAGCGCAACCAATTTCTGACCCCCATTTGATTATGATGCTGTGACGAGGAAGACCAAATTATGGTGAGTTCGCTTGATCTAAAACTCTAAGCTGTACATCACAGATCCAAAAATATTACCTCAAACCAAACCGCCTTGTGATTTTTCCAGCCACATTAGCCACCCAGCACAGTTAAACTACACGACTGTCGCCTTGCACCGTCTTAGCTTTGGCCGTTATTTGGGAGACAGAATGATAGGTTAGTCTAATAACTTGTGGTCTTAAGATACAACATATAAGAAACGTACTGATCAAAGTTTTCAAAAATAGGCCTGATTCAATGAAGATGAACGGGGTTGACATTCAAATGTATGTAGCATGTGTTCTCCCATATGAGACTTCATTTGTTAAGAGATATGTGCAATAGTTGGTTCTTAGAATTTCAAGTAAGTAGTTTATCAACTCCGAGTGCTGCACGTAATATGTTCGACTATTAGTTTACTGAATCAATTAATATTTCAGGCCAGAAACTCATGAACTTTTCTGATTGTCGTGACACCCTTTGGCAATATCATTTCAGATGCTAACAGCACATATATTCTAGAACCAGAGGATTTTCTTGGATTCACGAGCGCTTAATGGGCATAAACGCGAATATCTACAATGCACACTATTCCGACCATACCAACGTTCCGAGGTTGAATGCAAACTGACATGCGGAACCAAAGAAGACCACAATGAAGTTTAGAAAGCAGTTTCGTATTTCTAGATGGATTGGAAACAATAGAAGATCTAGGGAAAGTTGTATTGGCAAATAGAGGATTTGACAAGCGAGGATTAGGACTAATTAGAAGAAACAGGTACAACTTCTGTGGGAGGAAAGAATAAGAGCTTCGGTAAGTTAAGACGTGTGGGAATTCGGCAGAGCAAGAGGAACTTGGAAAAGGATTGTCGAGTATGTATGTTATGTTCGTGTGTGGCTGCTCATGTTTACTTAATCTGTTATTCTGTCTAGGCTGTCCGCATTCAACAATAATTCAATGAAGTAACAGTCTTTACATTGAGACTGAAGATAAATGGAATTGGAGTGTTATGTGATGGTAGAAATATCTCATATTAAGACAGAAAACAAAAGCAACTACATACTTAACGCCAAATTTGGCAAATCCGCCCCCATTGTTTCTGTCGATCGAAGATTTACTAAATCACCGTCCGCAAAACGTTCCAAAAAACACAAACCGTTAAACCGGTTTTTAATCTATCGCAGAAATTATACAGCAAGCTTTCCGCTAGACAAAAAGCCGAACTTCAAGAAAATTACCAAAGAAACTTCGGCAAAATGGATGTCTGAAGAGTCGGCACGCCTCCGCCTCCATATTTGGACAATGGGTTATCCCGCCAGGAACAGTATATAAGAGTATAAACATAGTTAACATACTTGCACTTTAAATTAAGCAACAAACAACAAATACAATATAGTACGCATTGTACACATCATGAAATTGTAGTACTGGTTAAGCACGAAGTCAATACACATAACTTTCCTAGCATTGTGTTTTTTATTCAAATAACATAGGCTATTATGACAAATAGGACGCTATTTATCGCGATTATCTAATAAGATTGTCGAAGAAATGCTTGTCATTAACTATAACATGTAGCGTATATATTCTTTTTTTTTTTGTTAAATAAAAGACTTTGAGCGATATAGCACGGATTTGGCTGGATAAAGTAACTTGGCCCAAACATGTTAGTCATAATACAATGTCAACATATCTTTGTTGCATACTTTCATAAACCGATACCGATAGTTTTTTAACTATCTGTAGTACCAGCCCATATTTACTTAGGGGTTAATTCTCAATTTTAAGTCATTGTATACATGGATTCTGCTTCGTGTTTGACAAACATTGTCACAGATGGTTTAATAATTCAATTACAATATATTTTAGAAAGCTTGACAAAATCAAAACATTGGGAGAAAGCATTCTGCGTGACATATGACAGCCAGATAATACTCGGTCTAAGTCAGAACATGGTTCTTATCGGTTTCGACAAATTTGTCATACAACAGCTGTGATAACCAACAAAGAACATTTGACCAAGTTCAGGTATTAAAGACTGTAAGGTCTCTGGAAGTCTTTCAGAGTATTGTTTGATTAATCTGGTAATGTGTGAATAATCAAAAAAACCACAGTATTATTATTATGCTCAGAATGTACTTAACTATTTATTCCTATTCTGTTGTAAACACCAATGGAAATGTCAATCAAGCAATTTTACTCCAATACGACATAATAATAAGTTCTTGTTTGTTTTGTTAAAAAAGGGAATAAAAATAATAGTTACACTCCCCATATTATCAAAAATTTCTGTAGTCTGTATATACTATGTAAGTAGCAATAATTAGATATTAGTATTGTTATAAAGACGCTAAATTAAAATATGTTATCGATACACTCCCGTAGCAAAAGTCACCGAATATTTGCGATTAAATGAGAATATTGTATTGGCATAACGAGCAATGCAATCACCGCAAAATTAACACTGAATTTAGCGCACCTTCTAGATAGTATATACACAAAAAATTGCAATATGTTAGGTAGTAAAATTACGAATTTACCATAGAGGCGACTTTTATCCTACGAAAAAGATAAAATTAGGTCATGCGACACGGATATTTAAAAAATCGGTAAAAATTAGTCCACATATTAATTTACACGCAAAAGAAGCGCTATCGTATTTATAAAATATTACCCGAATATCTTGATTCTTCGTTGAGAAATCGAATTTTGAATCTATGGTATACTATTCGATAGTCGCCGATACCCCTTAAATTTGCAATTAAATGCAAATATCAAAAACCACCATCAAAAACTGCTTCAAACAGAATGAGAAAAAATCCCAGCAAATGTATACCAAAATCTTATCCTTAGTATGAACAATAGAGTAAAGGCAAGTTTAAAGGCTAAAGGTTATGCAACTAGTTATTAAATGGTTTTGTTTAAAAACGCAAATAAACGTGTTTCAAACATTCAAACAAATATGCAACTTGAAAATATACTCAATTAAGTTGTTTTTATTAAATTTTATAATAAGTTTGGTTTCTCAACAAGATATTTGGCTAACTTTCCTGCATTAGATAGCGCTTTGGAATGAGTGTAAATTTGTGCAAAGTTATTACGTGGATTAATTTTTAAACTTTTAGACTGTATAATTTAATTTTAGCTTTTTCGGTGACCAATATTTAGTTACATATAAATTTTATCATATTACTAGTTAACACATTGCAATTTTTTGTAAATATGTTGTACACTAGATGCGCCAAGTTTAGTATTAATTTCATGGTAATTTTATTGCTCGTTATGTCAATATTTGCATTTAATTGTAAAATTTAGGGGTGGTCGGTGACTACTGAATAGTACTCTAAATTCAAAATTCAATTTCTCAACGAAGAAGCAAGATATTTGGACAATCTTTACAAATATTATAGCGCTTATTTTGTGCTTTTGAATAAATATAAATCTATGTAAATTTATATGTGGATTAATTTTAACAGATTTTCAAACATTCGAGTCGCATACCTAATTTTAACGTCTTTCGTTAAATAAACGTCGGCTCTAGGTAAATTTATAATTTTACTATCTAACATCTTGTAATTTTTTGTGTATATGTTACCCATAAGGTGCGCTAAATTCAATATTAATTTCACGGTAATTGCTCGTTATGCCAATCGCAAATTTAGGAGGTAGTCGGTAACTTTTGAGACCTGGAGGTGAGATATTCACACGGCGTATTCAGAATTGACTACTATATTTGCATTGGGTAGTTGGAGAACAGTTTGGGTAGAAAACATGTGACCGGACGTGGAGATGTGTTGCAAACTGATAAGAATGAACAAATTGCATACAACATTGCATGGAGGTTCATTTGATTCAATTCTTTCCACACCTGAATACTCCAACACACATCTCAAGTGAATACCTAGACCTTTTTTTCGACTGTGCACCATTTAAACAATCTCCCATGCAATCATAATCTATCAAAGTACGGGGGCGACGTAAATCAACGTCAAAATTAAACCATCTGCGGTAGCTGAGGGTAGTAAAATCCAAACAACTACACGTCGTCAATCTGTATGTTTTGCGAATTATTTTTCCGGTAATTTGCTGATAGCTAACTTGACAATTAGAAGGAAAAGGAGGAATGGCAGTAATGGATTGAAGTGAGTAGGCACATGAAATTTTTGTTAGAGAAGAATAACTTTATTTATATCCTTACGGTTCGTTTATAAACCCATTCGCGAATGGTTGATAGTTGCAATCTCAAAAAGCCTTGTCCATTTGGACGTTAATGCCCATCTTTTAAACGATGTCTCGGTTTATCAGAGTACAAGGCCAGGAGGGCAACCTAAAATATCTGGCTTGGGAATGCCGCAGAAGGTTGTTCTCGATGTCTTGATTTGGTAAGCTTATCTCGTGACTTGTTAAGACAACATGAACAAATAGAACAGCGAGACTTTTTTGCTTCGTGTCTTATTTGTAATCGTTAATGAGCGTTATCTTCAATTTTTTTTATGCACCTAGCGCGTCTCATAGTCGGTTGTTTCGAGCGAAAACTTATTTTAATGTGTAATTAACTAATGCAGATACAACTACAGAGACATTTTGATATTAACTTGTTCACTAAGAAAAGGCCAAAATGCAGAACAAGACTGCTTTGCTACAATTTTATTAAGATTGAGGGGAGTTAATACATGGATTACTAATTGTCTTCATATATTTAATTCAATGTGCTTATATTAAAGAGTTTATAGTATCTCTTCATTAGTAAAAAAATTAAACAGTGGGAAAACGCAACAATAATTACATTTTTGAAAAACAAGTATCGGATTTTCATTTTTATTAACAACTCAGTCCACGAGATAAGAAATATTCTTCGGTTTATTTTTTTTTAATAAGGTCCGACCTTTGAATCT